TTGAATTAAGTCAGACTTTTTTGAATTAATTCATTTGAAAAAAAAAAACAAACAAATTTCATTTACCCAAAGCGAAATAGAAATAAAGAAACAAAAAAACTATGTTTTTATTCCCTTCAGGAATCTTGTAGAATAACATCATAATATAACATGTCATTTTTTCAAAACGAATTTAAAAGTGATGATAGAATACAAAATAATAGATACATATAGATCCAGTATCATCCATAAAGTTCGTAACACATAGAGAAAAAGTTTATTAGTAGAATATCGAAACATTTTTTCTCGGGGATCTATTATGCATGTCTGACTACTTAAAAGTCGATTTTGACACATGTCACTTGATCTCTGGTATGGCAGTATATTCAAAAAAATTACCATGGCAAAAAGTGGGCTTAAATGGGAAGATGAAGTTATTTAAAAAAAATAAAAATAGCTATTTTTAGTTTTCTCAAATAATGGCTGGAAACTCCATATGTGAGCAGCATGAAATTGAATTCTATTCAACTTGTACATCATCAACATCACTACTGTCAGAAAAAAAAAGAGAATTGTAACAAAATTGAAGAATATTCGAAAAAATATAGCTATTTCCAATTCTCCTCCAAAAATTGCTGGAAACTGAATGTGGAATAGCAACTTAATAAGAAATGTTTATGGATATTTTGTTATCTAACCCCACTTCTCGTCGCTTTATAGTATTATTTTTATTTATCACCATACCAGTGATCACGTGACATGTGTCAAAATCGATTTTCAAGTTGTCGGATAATATGCATAATGGATCGCCGAGAGAAAAAAATTCGATGCTGTGATAATAAACCTGTTCTCATATGTTATGGACTTTATGGATGATACTTCATACTGTATATATCTGTTAGTAAAAATCTCTGTCATGCTTGAAATAACAAAGTCTTGCCAAAATACGATCGAATTTTTCAGTTTAAACTAGTTAAAATCAAAGGTAATAGTGCAATTTGTCTCATTTTTAAAAATTTGAATGAATTCATGACTTTTTCGAAAAAAGTCAATGGAATTAATTCAAGAATTAAATCACTGATTTAATTCATATGAATTAATTCATGCCAACCCTGATTATAAATATGTAGGTCAAGATGTGATGTCATTATTTCCGATCGATAGAGTTCGCCTTATGTAACATGTTGAACAGAAACGAGAAAAATGAAAATGAAAGTCTTTGTATGTCATTTTTAGTAGTAGAGGTTGACGAGAATAGTTACCTATTTATTATACAAGAGAGACAACACAGCCTCTAGCCAAAATCTAATATTTCCCATGGGAAAAAAGTAATTTGTGAAAAGTGACATTTTATAACCTGGCAACAAAGATGGAATTTCAAACTTCATTCCCGTCTAAAAAAAAAAGTAATTTTTTCTACAAACGTCAAAAAATGACAAGGTTTGCTCATTGATAACAAATTTCAACACACTTTCTTCAGTTTCCTAAGGTACCAGGATACCATATGCGAAGCACTGTGCGAAGTAAAACGATATGCAAAGAACATACTTCCTGCATTGTATGTAAATTATATGAGATTTTTATATTTCAACTTTTTGGTCCTCAATTGAGCAAACTTCCAAGGAATCATTAGTTTCTGAATGTTTAACAATTATTTTGTTCATCTCTTAGACCGCACAGAAGTAAATTCCTATAATGTTCATGGAACATCATACGTACCTAGGGAGGATAGGAAAAGGCCTTTTAAGTCAGTTCAATACTATTTTTTATATTAAGCTGAGCATATTACTACTTCAGAACAATATGTTTTACCATTATTCTAGATTTTTTGGGATTTTCTCTCCTCGTTTCTATGAAATAAGAATATGAATATTATATCAATATACGTGTAGTAAGGACAAATCAGATGATTTGCCCCAAAATGTCAATGTGTTTAAAGAATTTTCCTATCAGAGAGCCTAGAAGAAAAATGTACTATCTTGTCATTGGCAATTTGTATTGAAAAAGGTTTGGAGAAGAGAAGTAAAGGTATATAGAAAAAAACAAATGTTCACTTAGCTTTGGACGTTTCGGGAACGAATCTGCTCCCGTTTTGAACATAAAAATGGTTATTTGAATAGCAAATTCGAATTTGTCTTGAAACTTTTCAGTTCTCAGTGACAAATGCCATTCAAATAACCATTTTTTTATGTTGAAAACGGGAGCAGATTCGTTCCCGAAACGTCCAAAGCCAAGTGACAATTTGATATTTTTTTCTATATACCTTTATTTCTCTTCTCCACACCTTTTTCAATAATACAAATTGTCAATGACAAGCTAGTGAATTTTTCTTCTATGCTCTCTGATAGGAAAATTCTTTATACACAGTGACATTCTGGGGCAAATATCTGATTTGTTCTTACTACATGTATATTGAAATAATATTCATATTTTTATTGTATAGGAACGAGAAAATCCCAAAAAATCTGGAATAATGAATGTACCACCTCCTCGATCAACCTACAGACAGTATTCAATATTTTTTACCGTTTGTAGAAAAAAAATTTTCTGCAACCGACACCAAAGTCTTCCATTTTGATACCAAAATTAGCTCTTGAATTGACGTTTCTATTACTGACACAAAAATAGGTATGTTGCTAGGCAACACGTTTAGTTCCTAGGAGTTAAAGTTGAACTTTAGTTCCTAGGAGCTGAAGTTGACCTTTAGCTCCTAGGAAATAAAAAGGATGTACTATAGAGGTCATCAAGAGTAAACAACATTGTTATGGTTTGTTATTTGGGTTGGGACGCATAACTGATTTGTTTCTAATTTCGACAGATTTGGTATTTCATACTCATGCTGGAGATATAAATACACCTTAGTATAGTCTTTGAGTATTCACACTAGTGTATATAATCAAAGGTATAGTTGAGTATTTTTGTTATGATCAAGAAAGTCTCCAAGATTCACATACTTGCTTGATATGTATTTCATTCGTTATTCTCAGGATGGAAAACTTTTTTTAGAATAATCACGGCCAGCAATAAATTGTTGTCTCAAACAACGATATTTTTTACCTACATTTGATTATCAAGCCTAACACAGTGGAGTATGGAGAGAAATAAATAATCGCTTTTATTATTGTTGATATGCTCACTAACTTAACATTTTCCACGTCTTGTTTCTATACCTGGCACTGGCGCGGTATTTGCCATTAGATCACCTGGTTCATACATGATACATATGTCACTTGTAGTTGTATTTATATGGAAACTAACAATTCGAACATACTTGAAAATTGAATAAACCTGATATGTTAATGCAGCTAGAATATTCTCACCACATGGATTATTTGTTGCATTGCATACATATGGCACGGCATTGGTGGTTACTTCTCATATTCATTTGAGTTAATTGTTTCGCTTGCAGCAGAAATAGCATGTTCCATTCGGATCAAAAGTGACTTTGTTTGTCTCGCAAATTTTGCTTTTCAAATTCGCTTGTCAAGCAAAGTGTCACTTCTGATCCTAATAAAACAATCTACTATTGTTGGCAACTCGAGAACTGATTTTTTTAACGAGGCGCATAACTACACTCACCGGCAAAATAATCGATCCACTCAAAATATAGATAAAACTTGATCAACGATAACTTCGTTAATTCATGTCTGATTCGTTCAATTTTTTCTTTATCCCGTAGGTAAATTCATAAAGAATCACACACAATGTTGAGATTTTGAGAAATGAGGCATATCTTGAAATTATACAGAGTGACAAAAAAAAGTGCATTTTTACTTCAATTTTAAAACAATCTCTGGAGTGGTTTAGCTGGTGTACATCCTGTGATTTTCCAGTCAATCATCGAGCTACGTTCATTACGAACATTTTCTTTTTCTATTTGTTAGGATAACTGCATTTTTGTTACAAGGGTTTCAAAAAAAAAAGTTACATTTCAACATTATTTTTCTATCGTAATAACAAGGTTTCCCAAGCCATTTTTTGCATAGCTGGCTGAGACAGACCTGTCAGTTGACAATTTGTATGCTTGTGTTAATCATCGAATAGTTGAATATGATATGGATCTTTCTGCAACCGACTCTGCGAGAGCTATTGCTTTGGTGCAGGATGGTAAATCACAATATTATGTGGCCAGTGCTTTGGGAGTTTCAAGATCCAGGGTGCAAAGGGCTGTGAAACGGTTTCGTGAATTTGGTGTATTCACAAGAAGAGGTAATGGTTGTCGGAAAAAATCTACGTGTGATGTTGAACTCCCAGTAATGCATTGGCCTCCCCGAAGTCCCGACTTGAACCCAATTGAACATGTTTGGGATGCTCTCGGGAGAGAAGTACGATCTTGTTTACCAGCTCCTGCAAATTTACAGCAACTCAGTGAAGTGTTAATTGAAGCATGGCAGCAAATCAATCAGGTGTATATTCAAAATCTGATAATGGGCATGCCAAGACGAATTGCAGCAGTTATTCGTGCACGTGGGGGAAACACGTCGCACTGAGTTCATTAGCATTTTCCGAATGATTTTCAGGTTTCATTCGTTACGTCGGTTATGATCATCGTTGCTTAATTTGAAATGTGTATTATCACCAAAATGTGCAAATGTAACGTTTTTTTGAAACCCTTGTAACTTCCACAAAAATGCAGTTATCCTAACAAATAGAAAAAGAAAATGTTCGTAATGAACGTAGCTCGATGATTGACTGAAAAATTACAGGATGTACCAGCTTTACCACTCCAGAGATTGTTTTAAAATTGAAGTAAAAATGCACTTTTGTTGTCACTCTGTATAATTTGAAGATATGCCCCATTTCTTGAAATCTCAATATTGTGTGTGATCTTTAGGAATTTACCTACGGAATAAAAAAAAATTGAACGAATCAGACATGAATTAACGAAGTTATCGTTGATCAAATTTTATCAATATTTTGAGTGAATCGATTATTTTGCCGGTGAGTGTATTATGAAAAGTGACATGATATGTCAAACTGTGTTTCCATCACAGAAAAAGAATAATCATTCAAAATAACACTCACTCTGCGTTCTCCTCGTCCTTCTTCACGTTATTCGTCGGCGCCACGTCCTGGACCACCCTGTTTCTTGCCACAAACTTGTACTTCTTCAAGAACGGATATCTCTCCTGCAAATCCGGAGGTACTTTGAAAGTCTTCCGTTTGGGCACCCTAACAAACTCCGTGCATTTCGTCCATTGCGTGAGATCGCCCGTGCACGTGTAGCCCCCCTTGGAAAAGACCAGCTGGCCCCCCTTGCAGGTCTTGCAGCGGGCGAGGACGCCGAAAGTCATCAGGTCGGCGAGCTGGTCCAACAGCTGGAAGGGAGACGGTAGAGTCACGAGAATAATTTTTAGTTTATCCACGAATTTATAATAGTATATTGAGAGTATTTTGAGCACGAGCACAGCAGAGCGGAGCGAGTGTTTAATAAACGAGTGTCTGTCATATAATGTAAGTTAACTTGGTATGCCTGCAGATGTCAATGTCAGATTATCTAGGATGGCATGACTGACAGAGACTGTTAGTAATTGAGGTAGGACTGTGAAGATTGATTATAATAATCTACTAAATGTACTATTATCTTTCAATCTACATCCGGTGGTAGAGTGGCCAACACGTGTAACACATTCTTCGTGCACTATAATTGATCAGATTTTTACTAACCTCCCAGGTACTGTTGTATGTGTAGTTGATAATCATATATCAGATCATAGATCTGTTCTTTTTCAAAGCGGCTTCGGTAAAGGCGATATCCAATCATTACAACATCAGTACAGGAGAAGTTTCAGTGACAACAATGTAAACAATTTTCTATCATCGCTTGAAAATCAAGATTGGTTTGATTTATATGAGATAACAAACCTAGATCTAGCATACGAATACTTCATAAATCTGTATCTTCATCATTTTGATTTACATTTTCCATTGAAAAAACAACACAGGAACAACTACTATAAAAAATGGATAACAGACGAAGTAAAAGTATCTAGCATGAAACTGAAAGAGTTATTCAACCTAAAATTGTTATGCCCCGAATTGGATGAATTATACAAACAAGCAAAAAAGCTACATGAAAACTTAGTGAAAAATGCCAAAATGGAGTATCATCAGAATAAAATACTTAACTCGAATAATATAGCTAAAGCGGCTTGGAACGTCATCAGAGAACTCTCAGACAGTAATACAAAAGTAAGCAACATAAATATCCTGCATGAAGGCACTACTGTCGAAGATCCATATATAGTCGCCTCGTTATTTAATGAATTCTTCATTAATGCGCCAAACGAAGTCATGAAAAATATACCTAATGTTACGAAGGATACTGCTGGTTTTCCAAAGATTTGAAAGAATACAATATTTTTGAAACCATTCGGTAATGAGGAACTTCTACATCTACTTCAAACAAAAATCAAAAATAAACACTCCTCAGGCCCGGATGAGGTTCCAACATTTTTAATGAAGAAATGCCTCGTATACATAATTGAACCATTAACTTACTTGGTTAATTTATCTTTTATCTCGGGCGATTTTCCAACAAAACCAAAGACGGGAAAAGTTGTCTCCATTCACAAAAAGTCGAATGCCTCAATAATGACAAACTATCGACCAATCACTATTCCCTCGTGTTTCTCAAAAGTCTTCGAATATTCCTTTCTTGAACGGTTCTTGAACTTTTTTGAAATTAATAAGTTATTTTCAGAGAGTCAACATGGATTTCTCACAAATAAATCTATTAATAGCGCTACATTATCATTTTATGAGAAAGTTATTGAATCAATCGAAGCAGGTGAATGTCCTGTTGGGATCTTCTGCGATCTTAGCAAGGCATTTGACTGCGTTCAACACGACATCCTGTTTTCCAAATTGTATACGTACGGAATACGAGGAGTAGCTTTAGAATGGATCACATCTTTCGTCAAGAACAGACGACAATATGTATCAATAAACTTTAAAGAAAATACTTCTCACCGTAGAGTAAATTCAGAATACCAAGCTGTTGGTGTAGGAGTCCCTCAGGGATCTGTTTTGGGACCTATTTTGTTTCTATGCTATATCAATGAATTGGATAGTCTCACCAATAATTCGCATTATGTGGTTTATGCTGATGATACCACTATACTCATATCAGACAAAAATGACGATAATCTATCGGAACACTGCCACAACGTTATGGATACAGTGATCTCTTGGTGTAGTGTTAACTCACTCCTCTTTAATGTAGAAAAAACTAACGTAATGAGATTTCATCATCGGCAAAAACGTTGTTCAAATATGGGGAAATGGGAAATGTTGATGAGTTAACATTCCTAGGAATCGGCATAGATGAATGTTTAACATGGAAATACCATTGTAACAAATTGATAAAGAAACTAAATTCTCTCTGTTATATGTTTCGGAGTCTAAAAACAATACTTACAGAAGAACAATTGTTGTTGCTCTATCATGCTCAAGTGTCCTCCCGAATCCGCTATGGAATAAATTTTTGGGGTAACTCTACTCTATCACCGGATGTTTTTATTGTACAGAAAAGGATTATAAGAATAATAGCAGGCATACCTAGTCAACAATCTTGCCGAAATATTTTTAATAGCCTTAACATTTTAACTGTCATTGGTGTTTTTGTATTTGAATTATGTGTTTATGTATTTTTGAACAAAGAAAAATTCATTACTAATAGGAATATACATGGTATAAGTACAAGACAATGCGACAATTATCACATTCCAATGTGTAAATATGAGATTACACGTAACTCTCCCAATTACTTTGGACTCAAAGTTTTCAATAAACTTCCCAGTCGATTGAAAAACTTGAAAAAACTCAGTCATTTCAAAACGAACTTGAAGCAATTCCTACTGGAAATGAATCCCTATACTTTAGAAGAATAGTTTTCGGCAGCCTAGTCCTTTTGTTTCTGTCTCTGTAATATCTAAATATTATCATTTTATCTTATGTCTCTGTCTCAAACTGTCTAGTTTTAAGCCTTCAATCTGACGATTCCTATACATGTAGAAATGTCTAATGGAAAATAAACGTATTGTATTGTATTGTATTGTAAGATCAAAATATCTTTATGATACCTGTAAACTTTCTTACTGAAATACAACAAGACATGGTGCAGTCGAGTGGTAAAGCCTAAAGCACTGAATAGTGCATACCTGAAGTGTTGAAAATCCTCCTGTGGAAATACTTCAAACCTGCAATTCAATATGGATGTTCGGTTACCAAGCCCAATGAGCTTTGAGGGTAATGTTGCTGAAAACTTTCGAAAATTGAAACAAAATTTGAGGATATATTTAGATGCATCTGAACAAATTGACATTAGAGAAGGCACTTAAAATATGTAGTCAATGAACTGTCCAAAAAGCAATTGAGGAATAACTGCCTAGTAGAATTAATGCAGTGAGGAATAAAACCCAGTATCAGAAAAGGTTTGACAACAATACAACAGGCAATTCAAGTAGATATGGCACTGAAGCCTATGATTGTCGGAGCTGTGGAACTAGACACATTTATAGGCAGTGCCCTGCCTATGGAAAACGCTGTTCTCGCTATGGACATTTTGATTCTATGTGTCGTAATGGATCAAATGGATCAGTAAACAATAAATCAAGACAAGTAAAGGACATTCAAGAAGTAGATGTGCATGCTGAAAATGACTTGGATGAATTTATGGTATTGACAATAGGTGTAAATGAATTAAAGAATGTTAGAGAATGGAGGGAGGGAGGTAGGAGGTGAAAATATCAATTTCAAAGTGGATTCATGTTGATATTCTATCCAAATGCTTATTTGATAAAATTGAAAATGTTGAATTAGAGCCAACAAAAGTAATAGTGGAAGCCTATGGAGGTTTCAAAATTGTTCCAATCGGCACTGCAAGCATAAATTGTATGTACAAAAGTAATGTAAAGATTCTTGAATTTATGATGATAGAGAGAAATAAAAGCTCACCCATACTGGGGTTGCAGTCTTGTAGAGAGTTGAGAATGTTACCTGAAGTGGACAATATAGTTTGTGACATGAAAGAACACTTCATCAGAAGCAATGCAGATATTTTTACAGGTCTAGGAAAATTTGGAAAAAAAAAGTGTTCTAAAACTTATAAAAGATGCTTTGCCAATTGCAAGACCACCCCGCAGAGTAACTTTGGCAATTCAAGGCAAATTAAAAGAAAGTCTAGATGGTCTAGTCAAAAGAGGTGTTATTTCTAAGTGCGAGGGACCTACGGAGTGGTTAAGTAACTTGGTAATTGTAGAAAAAAATGATAAATCGTTGAGACTTTGTCTAGACCTCAGGGATTTAAATTTGGCCCTGGAAAAGGAATTTTGTGCGATTCCAACTCTAGATGAAATCAGGTCAAGGCTGGGTTCTACCAGGTAGAGCTTGATGAAGAATCAAGTAATTTATGTGCTTTTGGTACAATTTTTTGTGCTTTTAAGTTCAACAGGTTACCGATGGGCCTTAACTGTGCTCCAGAATTTTTCCAAAAATTGAATCAAGAAAACTTCATTGATTTACCAGGTTGTATGATTCATTTTGATGACCTACTTGTATTCGGAAACTCACTAGAACAACATGATATTCATTTAAATCAAGTTATTGATAGAGCAAGACAATTAGGGGTAAAGTTCAATGGTGAAAAAATTCAATATAGAGTTAACGAGGTAAGATATTGTGGTAAAATTTTTGACAAAGAGGGAATGAAGGCAGACAAAGAATAAGTTGCTGCTATTCAGAATTCAAAAGAGCCAACTAATAAAAAAAGAGCTCCAAAGTGTTCTTGGGATGATTAACTATTTGCGTAGCTAAATTTCCCAACTGATGAAAAAAGCAGTATCAGAAGTATGAGTATAGCTCTTGAAGTATGACATAGATGCGAGATATGAGCCCGGAAAGGAAATGCATATTGCAGATCTGTTGTCCAGAAACTATCAGAGTGAGATTATTGAGTTAGAGGATGATAAATTGTGCAATCAATCAATATGTCAAATGAGAAAAAGCAACGTTTTATTCAAGAAACCTTGAAGGATTTGGAGTTTCAAAGAGTGACACAATACTGTTTAACAGGGTGGTCTACAGATGGGAGTAAAGTTTCAGATTCCTTTAAAAGATATTACTCCCTGAGACATGATATACATTTGTTGGACAATTTGCTTTTTTACAAGGACAGAGTAATAGTTCCAAAATCATTGCGTAATGATATGTTGACATTGCTGCATGAGAATCACTTTGGAATAGTGAAGACTCAACTTCGAGCCAAACAAATCTTATATTGGCCACAAATTAACTGTGACATTGAAAATTTCGTGAG